TTTCACCTACAAGAACCCAAAACATTTAGATATTTTGAGACCTTGATTTTCTTTTGTTTATTTTTGAAATTGAGGTCTAACCTGAGTTGATATGGAGCTCTTTTCGTGACTATCCACGAAGTGGTGGTTTGAGCAGTCATTCACCATGTCAAATTGCCTAATTTCTTTCACATTCTCCCTACTCGATAAATCCAAAACAACCTTGGACTCCTCGGATTCTTCAAACTTTGTCTCCACAAATGTCTGATCATCTTCCTTGTTAGAATCAGATACATGGTCTGAACTAACATACAACGTTGTGTAGTTCTGAGAACTGAAAAACCGTGTAGCCACATTGGATAAGAACCCGATTGCAGCTCGTGGGACACTAAAAGTAGTGGAATCATACAACATCTTTAAGCAATCTTTCTCATCATCATCATCTGAATCCAATAAATCCTGACCATATAAAGTAAAAGTTTAGTACAATATTTATAGATGCATGTTAACTGGACAAAAATTGCAATATTATGTCTTATCTTTTTTGGGTTAATTTACCTTTTCGGTGGGGTCGGATGAACGGGTATTATCATGCTCGGATTTCTCTTCCATATTTCCATTGTTAAGTAGTGGTGTAGCTGATACGCCTTCAGACTTTTCCACTCGAAAGATCTCATGAGGCCCAACCTGTATAAGCAATTTAAATTATTACAAAAACAACCAATTAAGAAGGAAAAATCCAGTCATGCTAAGTTAAATTATTTAATCATACGTGCACAAGAAATAGCAATGTCATCTAAATGCAAGGCTATAATTGGGTACATTGAGCCCATATTAAGAAGGAAACTCGTACCTTAGATGTGAAACCCGTAGCCCATTTAACTTCAACAATGCCATTTTTCAAGCCAATAACAATCCCGATATGATCTAAGTAGGAATTGTAAGAATCTTTCTCAAATTTCTGTCCTTTATGAATCCTAAATACAAGATCACCCTGACTAAACGAATAGTCAGGGTGATCAATCAGTTCATACGCACTCACAATGTCTTCCACATTCTTCTCTTCATTTTCCAATTCCCATTCTACCCTCACTGTCTTTTCCTTCGCGTCCACCGCTTTCACAACCCCCGACTTCCTATTTTCCTGATCATCTGAAGTCCCTTTCTCAAGAACAAACTGATGAGGCCAAAAATCATGAGCATCGAGTGTGTTAACAGGGTTTAAACAACTCGAATCCAACCCAAACGATTCACTCCCATCTTGCCATAACACATCAATTCTACATTTTGTTTTCGCAATCACAAAGATTTCTTGAAAACCCGAGTGGGAAATTTTTGGTAGAACACACCAATCACCGAGTTGCCAATTCAAGAAACACGAAATTAGGGTTAAGTCTGTTTTGCTCTGAAGAGATGGTGGCACCGGTGCACCACCCTCTGAACCAAATAACGCGCACCCGAGCCATGTCACGTGGACCGAACCCGTATCCACATTACACACGGTCCCTTCGTTGTGGGTTTCGGTTCGCGACCCGCAAAACCACTGAGTCGAGTTTGACCGGGTCGAATTCACGAGTTTGACTCGTTGACCCGGGTAATACGGGTATTGTGAATCATCGACTAAATCGGGAGAGATCGGTATTAGATTATCCGTGTCCGTTATTGTAAATTCACATTTTGACCCGTCATCGAACAGGACGGTTACCGAATCGGTTATCTGGTCAGCTTTACCGACCCATGGACCGGAAATTACGAAATCGCCCATTGAGATTGAACGGATTCTTTGAAGCTCGTTGGAGTTGATGTCTTCTAGTTTCTTCTCGTTAAGATTCTCCAAGTCTACAAGCATCTCAAAGTTTGTTACTTTTCCCATTTGTGAGTGATCTTTCATCAAGCAAACGATGTCACCATGAACGTATCTTCTTTCGAACAACAAGAAATCATCGATTTTTCCAATGGTTTCTTGAAGATTTGAGAGGATACAGCTTGCTTGTCCGCTGTACATGAACTCATCGTCTTCTTGATCATCAGAGCTACTGCTTTCACTGTAGCTATCGAAATCACTTAGAAACACATCCATCACTTCAATCCTTGAAAAAGAAAAAGCAACCATTTTAAAAAATTAAACAAAAATAAAACGAAAAAGTTGATAGAATTAAGAAACAGAAGGTACCTTGTGATATAGAGAATGATAGGATCTCCAAAGAAACCGGAGATAATTGCCAAAGGAGATTTGCCCGATAAAGAGGGGTCTGGAAGAGACACCCGATATGCCAAAAGGAGATTTGCCCCAAATAAATTGGATCAAAGTTTTCACCAGAAATGAATTCTGGATTTGCCAAAGGAGATTTGCCCGAAGGATATTATCTATTTGATTAATTTGTATATATATATAAAGAAATGGCTCCGAAAGGAACTAAAGAAGCCAGATATGTAAATTGCCAAAAGGAGATTTTGTTTACGAAGAAGATGAATCAACCGAAAAAAGATAATACAGAAAAAGAAGCAAACGAGGCACCATATACTAAGAGAGATAATTATAGATTATGAGAAGGGAATTTGGCTATTTTGAGAAGATGATCTATTTATTCCCTGAAAGGAGAAAAGTTCGCTAACTGCGGGTTTAAACTTTAAAGCAGCCATGATCCGTTAGCTTCCGCGCCTGTTGAAATTTAACCGAAAATAATTAGCAGGAATTCAAACAAGTTTTTCTTAATGGAAGGAGTTGTGTAAAAACAGTATTTTTTTTTTTTGTAAAGTATTTCTTCATCATTATTCTTAGAGAGTCCAATTTCTCAAACAACAACCAAAAAAGAAAAAGAAAAAAAAAAATTGTTTTCCTAGACACAATCATGATCTTGTGAAGAACCATTAGAAAACAAGAAGAAGAAGCAAAATAAATGTACCGTTTGCAGCCAAGAAACATCACGTGGCTTCCTTCATTCATGTGAAGTTCAATTGCAGAAGACACACACAGTTGCCTCTTTATAACACACACACACACACACTCACTCTCTCTCTCTCTCACACACACACAGAGTTCAAAGAAAAAGGAAGCCTTTTAGCTTTTGCTTTTGTGGGGATTTCAGAGAGGAAGGGTCCTCCCTAAATCCCCTCTGTCACGCCATGATCAAGCATATCAAAAGCTTGAAGAAACCATTTCCCCTCCTCCTTCTTCTGCTTATATCTTCTTCTTCTTCTTCTTCTTCTTGTAGATGGTATATATGAAATCTTGAAATTGTTTGTTTGTTTGTTTTGTTGAAGAAAATGATGTAAGTGAGATCTTGAGTGGGACTGTGTGGGGAGGGGTATTAAAATATAAAGGCGAGCGATTATCCGATTGTGAGAAAAGAATATACCCTTCTTGTTCCTTCTACTTCTTTTCCCAACTGCATCATTCTTTTCTTTCACTTCGCTTTTGGATGTATCCGGTCTTCGCCTGTTTATGCGTTCAAATGGTTTTTTTATTATTGCTAAGTTAGGTCATAAAAACCTGATCTCGGCATACTTAAAAAATTCAATTATATTAGTATATGTAAGGAAAATTACTTGCGAGAATAATTATTTTTTGGTGTCTTATTCATGTTTAGATAATTAATTTTTTTTTACATATTTAATATTTATCTTTGTTAAATTTTTTTATTGTTATAATAATATGTGAACACATTTAATAAATTAAATAATCAAATGTGTAAAATAAATTAAATATGAACAATTTTTTTTAATAAATTTCTTAAAAAAATTTATAATTTCTTACAACATTTTTATGATATTTTTTTCATATAAGTATTTCTAATACAATATTTTAAAATTTTGTTAATAATTTTTTAAACTTTTTTTTATTCTTTCATATAATTTTAATACAAATACTTTTAAACCAAATATTTTTAAAAATTTTCTTACAAGTATTTAACTTTTACAACATTTTTTAAAGTGTTTCATAGATTTTGTATGATAGTTTAAATTTTTTATAACATTTTAAAATACTTTCGTTAAATACTAGTATAAAACGTTGTATGAAAAAAATTAAAAGTTTATAAACTTCTAATTAAAAAGTATTAAAAAGTTGGAATAATGTTAAAACATTTACATTATATAGATTTTTTTTATTTGCTAAGTAATATTTTATTTTTATTTTTTAAAAGACCCTCCATACTTATTGTTACATATTTAATTTATTTGATTTTATTGTTAGATACTATTTACTTTAAAAATATTGTATATGCTTAAAAGCAAAATAAATAAAAAATTATAAGAGGCTATATAAAATATTTCTCAATACAAAAACATATTTATTAATTAAAAAGTAAAGTTTAAAATTGATCAATATTTAGGAAATTATTGATATTTAAAAATAACGTTTGAAAAAAATAATACAAACAAATATGAAAAATAAAATCACTATTAAAAGTGGGGAAAATAACTTATCAGAATAATTAACTTTTCGTTTTATTTACATTTAAACAAAAAAAAAATTCATACACATTTAACCATTTAACTTGTTAATTTGTTTACATATTACCATTGTCACCTTCTATATGTAAACAAATTAACAAGTTAAATGGTCAAATATGTACAAAAATAAAAAAGTTACTTAAATCTGGAAAAAAAAAACGATAAAAATAATTATCCTGGTAAGACATTTTCCCTTATTTATATGAAGATTAAAATTATAGACAGATTAAATAAAAGTCAAAGCTCTAACTTGTTTATATTTAACAAAAAATAACTTTTTTTAACTAATCACTATATCCCAAATGGTTATTCCGGACCAGACCAAAACGAATCAAGCTAACTATTGTAACTAAATGCTACAGATATATTAGCCTCACACATAAAAAATCTGGAATAATTATTCCGGATTTTGAAATTCTGAAGCTCGTTCTACCCGCATTTCAAACAGAGTTTTGACCATGGATTCATCAAACCAGGTGATTTCTACTCTCACTTGCATTTGAGTTTACAAACAATTATATGTATTCTAGAATGCGTAGACCACGTCTGGGATACGAAGAAAAAGTCTGGAATATCTATTTTTTGCTTTTTGTTTCGTTTTAGACAGGGTCGGTTCATTGATTTTTCATGCCTAGGGCTAGACAATAGAATAATGCCCTTATATTTATCTAGTAATATGGACCAAATCACATATATAAAAATGACATTGGTTGATAAGGTTGGTAAATGAATGTGTTTAATAAGAAATTGTCCTTATGTTCGACAAATCATCAAGAAGTTGAAAATATCATACCTAATCACATAACAACTTAGAATCACATACGAAATCAAAATAACCATTGAAAATTCCAAGTCTTTTATAATTCATGGTTTTCAAATAACTTGTTTAACAAATCATTTTTTTCACAAAAGTTATTTATTGATCTTTTCCCACTGTCCTTTAATCTACGATCTTTTAACTTGATGGAGACATTACAAATTCTACTCCTCTGCAATGTCAATCAGTTGATTAAAATATCAGAACTCATATTTTTGTACAAATATTTGACTCAAGCTCACAATTGCATATTTGAATGGACCATAAGATTTTAAGTTCATAGGGTTTGAAACAGATTGGTTCAACACTAATAGAATACATTTAATCAGAATAAAATAGATTATACTAATCTTAATATCAAAAAAGTTAAATCACCAGTAGTGAGAATGCATAATGTTTTGATAGCATGATTAGGATTTTAGTTAAAGGTTAATAAACAAAATAACCGCTCTAGAATTTATATGCAAGAGAGGGATCTCATTTCCCAAATCCAAGATAGACTAAAGTTTAACATATGATCTTTCACCCACGTTACAAATTACAAAAGCATAACCACATCACAATAATAACCACAACTATAGGATTTTAAGTCATAAACAACATATTTTCTTGCTATAAGGGTATGAAGTCAAGAAATTATGTTCCAATTGGTCAAAGAATCTAGTAATGCCTCTCCTTGAAGTATAATACAAATTTTCATTCTATCGGAATATTTCATCGGTCAAAATATCACTGCTTCACAATACGGCAATATCATAATATCTAAAAATTAATAATTTCACAAACCTAATATCACCATAAGAATTTCAGAATAATTACCTTAATTTGAAATCAAAATCAAAATCCAAGAATGAGAACATCATAACTAAAAAAGAGCCGATATTAGAAGGAACACTCAGATTTCATAACTCAAATACCAAACTTAATGGTGATTTCTGAAACTAGAAGTCAAAACCCCAAGACGGAGAAGGAGAACTCGAAACTCAAAAAATATAGAAGGAGAAGGAGGTTTTTGATTTTGGGATTAATTTACGAAAACAGGAAGGAGAACTGAATTAATAATCGTATAATCATAAGCCATCTCCCGTGATTCTACTCGTCTAATGTGTGGCGACTCCTCGATTTTGATTTAAGCGTATGATTTTACAATACCAAGAAAGATCTGCGTATTTTTTTTATTGTCGCAGCCAATCTCGCGCCCTTTTTCCCTTATGGCCTTATGTTTAATGTTGCTGATAGGCTTAATGGTTTAATGGATTATCGTTTTTGGCCCGTACGTACCCAATACCCATTACAGCTATTGAAAAACTGATGCCCCTCAGCCCACTGTTGCCCTGGTCCATAGCCCAGGTTGCCCTACCCTTGGGCCGAGCCTGGTTTTAGACATACAAGACCTATATAATTATCTTTAGGACTAGTTTTTAGTTAGAAAATAAGTCTACATTATAAGGGATTCCAGAATGGTAGTGTAACTCTAAAATACCAAGAACATAGTTGGAATACGAATACCAATTCTGGAATAAAAATTCAATATTTATTTTTTTGTTTCTCATATTGTTAAATAACTTGTATTAGTCTCAAGACCAATTTGTGTGGATGTTGAAAAAATGGGTTTTACCAACGAAGAAATTGTATCCCATTTACAAGAGCTTTCAGAATTGCGTGTGATAAATGTATAATTGAAATACAAAATTTTCTAATAAATATTTTATTCTACTTTTATGGTAATGTAATAAAATGGTGTTGGATTTTTGTTTTGCGGATACAAAAACCAATACCTTGAGTTAGAAAAATAAATAAACAACCAAATGCACATATAAAATTATAAAAGAAATCAAAAAGAGTGTTAAAGCTTATATTGAAATCAAATAGAACTTCGAAAGATAGGACCCGAACAAGTTTAGACAAACTTGTAATTATAGACTAGTCGCAAATTAATAATTTTTTATGGATATGTTTCAGCAAGTTGATTTTAATTTTGGAAGTTAGTTTTTAATATATATTTTTAAAATTTCAAACTCCAACATCTAGCGACAAGATTAATGAGGATGCATTGTTAATAGAATATCACATACTACATTTTGGTGACTGCTTTAAAAATGATTTGTGGTTATTAATGCGTGAAATAATAAATGGTAATACTAATCAAGGAGAAAAGAAAACTAGCATTGTATAATATGAAAATGCTCCTAATTATGATGTCTGAATACATACGAGAGTTTGTGAACACAACGGGCATCATCGAAGAA